AGCCTCTCGCTCGGCCAGTATGACGTCATTTTTAGTTTGAAGAGTGTTTTTGTGACGACCCGAACCCGGAGGTCCGAATCGTTAGCTAGGTTCTTACTCGAACCCGAGGTCATCTATGTCAAACCCATTATTTCAAGCCTCAAAACATGGTCCTGAGGATTAACACAAGGCTTTCACAAAGTCTTTAAACGAATTCCAAGAGTCAAGAGTAGATTAACATGAAAAGAGGAGCAGAGAGTGCCGAACAGGTGCACTTTGGTCGACCGAAGTGGAGCTTCGGTCGGCCAAAACAGACCTTCAAGAACCGGTCGACCGAAATAACCCTTCGGTCGACCGAAGGTGAGATACTGAGAGCAAGAAGATGGTTCGGTCGACTGAACCCTATTTCAGTCAACCGAAATAGGAGATCCTGGGAGCATGCAGGTGAATCGGTCGACCGATGCACCATTTCGGTTGACCGAAATGGCTCTGCCGAGCCTGGAACCTGATGCTGAGAAGCTGCATTTATGGGACTGAGGAGAAACTGCAATGGGGACTTTGCAATTGATCTCAACTTGTCTAAATGTCGAGAAAATGAGTTGTTCTACAATTCAAAGACGAAAACACCGCTACATGATCTCATTACAACATTATTAGATACTATTACATGGAGTTTTTACATGGTCCTTGCAATTATCATAATTTACAACAAAATTACTTCGAGCTTCAAACTACAACAAGATTTACACGCCAAATGAACTTAGTACATTTTACGTTATATTGCTATACAAAATAAGTGCAAATCTTTACAAAATGCTCTCAAAATGCCTTCAAGTTTCCTTAAGCCTGTGGTGGATTGTCATCCGCCAACTCTTTGCCATGTCCTGAAAAATGTTAAGGATAATGGGGTGAGCAATTTGCTCAGTAGATGGCATTTAAGACACGCCTCTTGTGTCCCCATGAATCCAAACATAGAATAGAGCAATGGGAATGGGGATCATACAATGTCGGGACAATATCACACAACAATCAATCTCAAGGATACACAATATGATGAAATGGGAGTGCAATGCATGTCGATGTCGCTCCTTATTTTCACATTCAAAATCATCGCTTTCAAACTGTTAATATAACCCGTCCTTTGGTGACCCCACAACGACACGAGAGAAGGATTGGCTAGTGTCCCTGACCCTTGGTACCCCCGCGGTGTCATTATGAACCCATCAAACTCAACCACGCTAGGGCAATCTCCCTAGTTCCCTCTAGGCTATATTAACCTTCCGACCCTTTAGTACTCCCGCGGCGACCGGGTTTTCAGTAAAACACTTTAATCAAAAGCTTCTTCCCAAAATCCCCTTTTTATCAATTCAAAACGATTTCCTTCCATGCAAACCCGATGATGTGTATGTGTGTCTCATGCTTTCAATTTCAATAATACTAAGAAATTTCTCACAACATAGTTTAGCATGTTTTCATACATCATTTATAGCATGTTAACAATATAATAGAAATAAAAACTCAACTTATAAGCTTGCTTTTCATACAATCTAATTAACACCCATCCACACACATTCACATATCCTCAATCAAGTCATTTTAAACTATAATCAAAGTAAGTAAACATGCTAAGGCACAATTCAAGTAGATTAACTCACTAAGGCACAAGAACTTCATGGATTAAGAACCCCTACCTTGATTTGGTGCAAAACCTTTAAATGGGTTAATAAATGTGAAATCCCTAGGGAGGCTCGAAGCTGAAATTGTTGGTACTCACGCGTAGAGCTCGTCTTGTTCTCCGTTTTGCCTCAAACGGCACTTAAAAATTCCAAGCATTGAGGATGGGATCAAAGCTTGAAGTTTGACTGAGAGAATGGAAGAAAAAATGCAAAGAAATGAGAAGAGAGAGAGACTTATGGGAGAGGTGAGATTTGAGACCCAAATGTGGTCTCTAAGTCACTAAGTGAGTGGGTGGTGGGTCCCACCACCATTTGACTTTTTCACTTTTTCTTTTATTTGCAATTCTACACCACAATTAAATATATAATGCACCACCACAAAATGCCACTTAAAACACATAAAATAAAATGTGTGAAATGCAAATGGACCCAACCAAAATCCCCCGTTCACAACAATACTGGTAGCGGTTCCCACACGGAACCGTTCAGCCCGAAAGACGAAAAATGCAAAAATGGTCACGCTTACATTTCAAAGAGTCTTGGACTCAATGAAATATCCTAAACAACTCTCAAACACAACCGGCACACCCCGTAGTGTCCGGTACGCAAAACGGTAAAAGACGAAAACGCCCTTGCGGAGACAAAATTCCAAAAAAATGAAAAATGCTGAAAATTGGAAACATCACAGTTTTTCTCATCTTGAAGGGAGCCGACGTCCTTCTTCAGAACATCCCTTTCTTTCTCAACATTGTTCAGTTGCACCATCAGTTCGGCGTTCTTGGTGCTGATGATTTTATTCTCCTTGTTGGTCGTATCAAGCACACTAGCAAGCCTACGCGCTCAAGTGTTGGATGACTCGACATGCTTTTGCATCATCATCATCCTGAATAAAGTTTGCAAACAAATGTACGAGTACTAATTTAGCCGAGCGTATATTCAAAGAGGTCAGTGTATGAAGCCTTACTTAATCTTACCAGATGAGAGATTGAGAATTACCTCCATAGCGGCCAGGGGAAAACGGCTGAACGTTTTCTTCTGGGTCAGCGCCTTTGTCACCTCGATGTCCTTAGGGGACCACAAGTTCTTGTAATAAGCCATAGCGGTTAGGCCATCCTTGAACATGGTGTCATTTGTGTTGACAACCGATCCATCTGCTCGGATGAATTGGGAGTTCCATGGAACTAGTTCAGGAGGGAAAGTAGAAGTTCCACCAGTTCCCGGAACGCTAATAGTTATAGTTTGGGGAGTTGAGGATGTACCCACCCCAGAGGGTCGGATCCTTCTCGAGAGAGGGATGTCATCGGGGTTGGTTTCATTATCAGGCTGAGGTCTCTTCCCTCGTTCTTTATTTTGGACATGAGCAATGACTCTTGAAGGGTTACTGGCCCTTGGAGTAGTATTCGGATTGATAGGCGAAGCGTTGACAACTAGGCTTGTGGCAACCACAATGTTCGGCGTGGTGCTGGAAGTAGTGGTAGAAGTGGATACCGAGGTTGGAGAGGAAGCCAGGGCGGGAGTGGTGACACTCTTAGGAGGGTATTTCCTTCTGCTGAAAGAAAGGATCTGGAGCTGACTTATGGTAGTGCCGAGGAGTGAAATATCGCTGAGATTCTCGAACATAAGGAGTTCCGAGCAAGAAGGAACGTTGCCCAGAACGTATTCCTTCAGGTGGTTGATCCTATCCCTGCAAATGTTGTAACTAAGTTTATTATGAGGAATAACCAAAGAATTGCAAAGAAACGAGCAGAAGTGAGGAGTGCAAATTTCAAAAGGGCAATCGCTCTTATGGTTCTTGAATTTTTTGTAGGAAAAAACAGAGCATTCACCGAAGGCGTTCGGGATAGGGTAATCCTTGGGCAACTGGAGCAAACCAAGCCCCCCGAACCCTAATTATGTTCTTCTTTCACCCTTTCTTAGTGTCGAGTTTGTCCATACAGATGGATCTTTTTTCAATAGGGTAAAAATGGTAATACATGTCATCCAACCTGATCTTGCTGACTTTGTAACAGAGAAGAAGATCTATAATATCAAGATCTAAACCCTTGTCACGGTTCAGAAGCAGTAGAACGGATAAAACCCTAAGAAAATTGGGGTTTACTTGAAGAGGGGAAAGCCTCAACCTATTAAAGACGTAACTGGAAAAATGATGCAAAGGGAATCTAATAATGATTAGGTGGAGGAGGGAAAACAAGATTTCACCAGGAAGAAGGCCGGCACCAGTTCTAATGTCTACATTCTTGGGACACTCCCTACTATGGATGTTGCTAGGGAGTTGGAGTTTCATGCTAAGAATGTCTAAATCGATGGGCATGGTGAAGACGAACACGATCCCCAAGGGAGTATAAAGTTTTAAAAGAGAAAGGGAAACAAAACTAACCTTAAGAGGATTGAAGGTTGCAAAAGATGCTGCAAGGTAGCTGAGAAGGAAGAATCTTTCGCAAGGATTCGTCGGGGATGATTTGATTTGCTTGGAAAGGATGAACAGTGAGTTGATTGACAACGAGATGTGATAGAACAGTAAAGAAGGTTGAGAATACGGATTGGGGGTTTATAAAAGGAAGGTGGACCTAATAACTGAGACGTCAGGAAGGTAAAGAGATTTCAAATTTCGAAAACGTTGATTCCTGAACCGACCGTTCGTTCCCTCACGCAATCACCTTGAGCCACCAAATCATGATTAGTTCACATTAATAATCTCACCCTAATTAATTAGGGAGAGATTACTGGGGGCAGATGAGAATGCCAAAAACGGCACAGACCGGGTACGACCCACACGATGGGAAACGGGCTAGATAAGTAATCTTGGTCCGAACCAAGTTCTTGCAAGTCAGGCCCAAGGTTAAAGAATGAAACTGAAAGCCTCCTGAAAGTAATTAGGCCCATAACTAGAGAAGCCCGGGGACTAAGCCCAGCATAGTGGAGCAGTTAGGAAGCTTTTAGAAAATTTGTAACAGTCTATAAATAGGCTGAAAATAGAAGGAAAAATGGGAGAAAATTCTTAAAGTGTAAAGATATTTTGTCAAAATAGAGAGAGAAATTTCGTGCATCTTCAAAAACAATGCCCATTTTTCGAGGGCCAATTAAATTAAAATGTGACCCGGTCAGAAAACTTTTATTTCGTGAACACATTTTTTAGTTTTTAAAATTTTGAGAACTATTTAAAAAAAATTGAATTAGCATGCATGATACTCGATCCGGACTCTCACCCGAGCACAAATATATCACAAATGCAAATGCAAATGTATATGCCACTTAATTTATTCCACAAATGTTTAAGCCTAGATAGCAACTCTATATATAGCATCTATTGTGTCCATACATATGAAGTACTATATGACAAGATAGATGGCCATGACCAAAACCACCTCTTCTGATCATCTTCTTCACACAACCACTGTACAACAACTCCGAACCACCATTAACAGAGCTCACATTCTCTTCCACTCCATTCTCATCTCCTTCCTGCTCTACTACCGTCTGTCCCGACTCTTCAACCCCCCAATTGATGATGATTTTCCCAGCACTGCATGGGTTTTCATGTTTGTTTCCGAGCTTATTATCTCCTTTATATGGCTCTTCACTCAGTCTTTCCGTTGGAGACTGGTTTTGAGGTCAGTCTCACCGGAAAGACTCCCCGGAGACAAAGCCTTGCCCGGAGTGGACGTGTTCATATGCACTGCGGACCGGAAAAAAGAGCCAACCCTAGAGGTGATGAACACTGTTATATCAGCTATGTCGCTGGACTACCCGCCGGAGAAGCTAGCCGTTTATCTTTCCGATGATGGCGGCGATAGGGTGACGATGAAGGCGATGGAAGAGGCGGCTGCATTTGCACGGCGGTGGGTTCCGTTCTGCCGCAAGTATGGTATCAAGACAAGGTGCCCGGAGGCTTACTTCTCGGTGTTTGCTGATGATGATTTGAGTATACGTGGTGCTAAATTTCAAGTGGAAGAAGAGAACATTAAGGTAGGTTCCTTACTTCAACTTGAAAATGATAAGTAGAAAAATGTTTTCCAAAAGAACAAAGAAAAAAAAAAAAGAAAAGTGAAATAACTAGAAAAAAAAAAAAAATTGTTAATATTAATAAATATTATTATAAAAAAAGAAGAAGACAGACATGTGCTGGATTGGATCGGTTCAACCATAAGACAACTAAGACTTTGTCTGAAGCCCCAATCGAAGAAGAGACTCCACATCTTATTATGTTAGGTAAATAATTTTTTCTGTGAATTAATTTGCTTCATGTATTATATTAATTACAGAATAAATACAAGTCTTTTCCTATTGGTTAATAAATTTTTTTTATATTAGTGTTCTATATATATATGTGTATATATATATATTAATGAATTATTTATGCTTTTTATTAATTACCAAATAAATACTACTACTCCTCTATCAGTCAATAATGAATTATTTATGCTTCTTATTAATTACCAAATCGATCAAAACAACTAGTATTGATCAATTTTTTATTTTATTTTATTTTTTTATCTTATAATTACCTTTTATTATTATTATTATATTTATTTTTATTTTCTTTCTCGCAATTAAGTAGGGCTCATTATCCGAAGGAGATTTTATTAAAGTTATATATATATATATATATATATATATATATATATGGTGCAGGCATAAATCCAACTGCTCTTAACTAAAAAACAAAAAGTGATCAAGTAGTTTAGAGTGAGAGATCACGGTTTAAAGTATTCAAATGCATATATGGACATACATGCCAACAAAAATGCGCATCATCTAGGGCTCTTAGACATGCATGCTAATTTTCGTGTGCTTAAGCCAAATGTCTTCGAAGCGATGTCATGCCAAATGTCTTCGAAGCGATGTCATGGCTTTGTTTTTTGGTTTATGGCCAATAAATGTGTGAACTTCTGGACCTTATAAAAAAAGATTGTTTATTCCTAGGCATGGTTTTCAGTGAATTTTAGATAAGACATTTTCATTCACGGATGAGGACACAGATTTTTTTTTTGTTCTTTCTTTCTCGCAATTAACTTATTTAATTTTTTTTTGAAAGGCTGAACAGATAAGAATAAAATATTAAAGATGGCGTACTTGATTATTAATATATTACCGTAATGTAGAACACTTTAGCAACCACATAATTTGGTTGATGTATAGGTTTTTAACATTTCAGTTCAAATATCAAGTTTGAATCCTCTCCAACCAAATCTTTTTCGTGGACTCACAACTTTAACACCGTGATTCTTCAACCACATCATCATTTATCCCCAAATATCACACGCCTAAGAATTAAGTTACATCCTTGCTAAAGCATTAATTTTTAAAGTAAGTGAGTAAAATAAATATTAGAATAAAAAAGTTTGACTTCCAACCTACCCTACATTATTGATACAATACCTTCTTTTTTGATAGGTAATGCATATCTATATCATTCCTTGTGAAATTGAAGAAATATAATGCAAATTAACTAAAATGTTTGATAGCAAATATAATAAAGGTGTAAAACAGTCACTCTTATTCTCCTCATTATCGTTTGGGACACCAGTTTGCTTAATTTAATTATGCTTTTGCATGTGGTTACACTAAATGCAGACAAGGTACGAGCAGTTTAAGAAATGTTTGGAGAGTGGAGGTGATGATGGCTTCTGCACTGAAAATGTCAACACAATCTCTGTCAACGGCCGTCCCCCGGTGATCCGGGTACTCTAGCTAATTCAATTCTTATTCATTTCATTTAATTATTTTTATTTATTTATTTTTCCTGCGACAGGTAAAGATTACATTTTTTTTATGGATATGAGAAAGATATATATACCCTACAATATATTCTATTCAAATTTTCTTTCTTTCTTTTTTTGGGATAGGTATGGATATATTTATGATAGAGAAAATTTGCAATGATAGATGAATGAAGATACCTAACTATATATGTATGTATATATATATATATTTTGTATCAGGTGATTCATGATAGTAGGGAGAATGAAGATGACGATAATGCAGCTAAATTGCCTCTCCTTGTTTATGTCTCTCGTGAAAAAAGACCATCTTATCCTCATCGTTTCAAGGCTGGAGCTCTCAACACCCTTGTATACAAACTCTCTCTCTCTCTATATATGCACAACACCCTTGTATACAAACTCTCTCTCTCTCTCTATATATATATGCACACACACACACACACACACACATATGTATGTTTGATAGTAATTAAATCGTTGAAAACCTTTATTGCAGCTTCGAGTGTCCGGAGTTTTTACAAATTCTCCATACATATTGGTTCTAGACTGTGACATGTACTGCAATGATCCAACTTCGGCTCGGCAAGCAATGTGTTTCCACATTGATGCCAACAAGTCTTCCTCATTAGCTTTTGTTCAATTCCCACAAATCTTCTACAATGTAAGCAAGAATGACATCTACGATGCCCAAGCAAGATCTGCTTATAAGGTACATATATACCTAACTATATAGACACACACTAATTAGATTAAAGTATTAAACTACGTACTAAATATATATATGCTCCAATGTTTTTACACATATATAACCTGCACTTTAAGTACTTCTATATGTCAACTAATTAATCAATTGAAATTTCGGATTAAATCCAAGACTAAATGGCAAGGTATGGATGGGCTTAGAGGACCTCTTCTATGTGGCACTGGATTCTACTTGAAGAGAATGGCATTGTATGCAAGTCCAACACAAGAAGGTACATTGATACTAACATGCATGCAATATTAATCAAGCCTTTGTGTGTAGTTAACCTACGCCAAAAATAAAGCATTTTATTTACTTGAAGTTGTTTTTCTAAACACTTTTTAAGCTACTCAAATTTAGTATATACCCTATGTATATATATAAATATAGCATACTAATTCTCAAGCTTGTCATCACCTGAGCAGACTCTTTCCTCCTCCAACCCAAAGTGAGTTTTGGCATCTCGGATAAGTTCATTGCATCGCTGCGTGGCAACAATGGGCAATATATTTTCAAGAAAGGTGAATCATCATCAGATGAGCTGCTAAAAGAAGCCCATTTTTTAGCTACTTGTGCTTTTGAAAAAGGCACGAAATGGGGGTCTGAGGCAAGTTTTAATTAAACATAAAAATTAATTATTTCTCATCATTTCCTTGCAATTATATATTCAGCATATTGACAATGTTTTAAATAAATCTTTTTTTTTTTTTTACAGATAGGTTTCTCGTATGAGTGCTTGTTGGAGAGTACATTCACCGGATATCTTTTGCACTGCAAAGGATGGACTTCTGTCTACTGTTACCCCAAGAGACCATCTTTCTTAGGTTGCACCACTATTGACATGAAGGATGCCATGGTTCAGCTTAGAAAATGGACTGCCGGTCTCTTCCAAATTGGTATCTCAAAATTCAGCCCTCTCACCTATGCAATGTCAAGAATGTCTATTATTCAAAGCATGTGCTATGGATACTTCACATTCCATCCCCTCTTCTCCCTCGCATTTCTGATCTATGGTGTCGTTCCTCAGCTATGCTTCTACAAAGGCATCTCTCTCTATCCAAAGGTAAGATATAACAACCAATTTTTAGGCATTAAAGTTTGATTTTAGAAATATAGTTAAACATTAATTAGGGCTTGCTTGGTTCAATTTTCTGAAAACAATTGGCTAAAACTCAAAAAGCAAAAAACAGAAAACTAGTTTTGAACAACTACAAAAGACTACTCTAAAAGAAGACTTTTTTATGACTGACGTTTCAAAGAAAGAAAAAAAATTCGAACCAAGCAGGCCCTTACTTCCTTGCTTCTTTTGGTAATAAATAACAGGATTTCAATATGGTACCTCTTGATTAGCGAAATTAAGGAACTAAACCATAACAAAGTGATTGCTTGTCTTTCTTCATTGAGCCTTTAATACAATGCTCACCACTTAATTAAGTATGCAATTTAATCTTAGAAAAAATCAGTATAATCCAAAATATGTATCTGTAAGTTGTAGTATTGATACAATATCTGTTTGTTTCACTTGTTGCCTTTAGGTTACTGATCCATGGTTCTTGGTGTTTTCGATTGTGTGGGCGTCCTCCCTATTGCAACATTTATATGAGGTGGTCTCTAGTGGGGGCTCATTGAGGACATGGTGGAATGAACAGAGAATTTGGATGGTAAAATCAGTCACAGCAACCTTATTTGGATGTCTCGACGTTTTTATGAAGTGGATTGGCGTAACAGGAACTGTTTTTAGGCTGACAAACAAAGTGATCGACAAACAGAAGCTCGAGAAATACAAAAATGGGAAATTTGATTTCAGTGGTGCTGAGCTTTTCATGGTTCCTTTGGTCATGCTAGTCACTTGGAACATAGCATGCTTCATGGGTGGAGTGAGGAAGATGTTGTTTGAGGGGGGTTTCAATGAGATGTTTGGACAATGTTTCCTCTCATTCTTCATCATAGCCCTCAGTTACCCTATAATTGGAGGGCTAGTGTCCCGAAAAGGCAAGGGCAGAATATGATCTTGTTAAGCCTTCCTTTAAGCACAGCAATGGTTAAATTCATTTGTGCTGACAAAGTGTTTTAAGTAGTTGTACTCGTTAATATCAATAATAGCTCTTCTTAGAGCATGCAAAAGAAAATGTAGAACAAATGATCTAGAAATTCAACCCACATCCTTAGTGCTCTTGTAGTTTATTGTATCTTTTATGTGGGTCTGAATTGGGTCATGGTGATTAATAGATTTGTATTCCTGTTCCGTCTTCAATGAAAATGAATGTTGGTGCCTATTCCTATGGGCTGATATGGGCCCAATTTTTTCCTTCTGAATTCTTAGTGAGTTCGTGAATTAGTATATTGGGCTGCTCTGGCCCATAATGATGGTCCATGATTTGAAAACATTCTTTACTCTATAACCTACTTTAATCAAGTACTTAGAAGTAACTACAGTAATGCCAATTACTCTGTAGAGATTGATTAGGTCAATAGAGATTGACTGAGTTAATTATTAGTCCATTGGAATTATGAAGAAAATGAGCCCAATAAATCTTTATTCCTAACCCAAAGTGATGATATATCATAAGAAAAAGGGTTAAATGCAAAAAATCTCCCTAAACTATTGCCATATTACAACTAACCCCCCTAAACTACAAAAAAAACCCTCCTGAACTAACATTTTATTGCAATTTAATCCATTCCGGCATGTGACCTAATCGGAAATAGAAAATGACCAATACAGCCCTTAATAAAACGGTGTAGTATTGGTCATATGCTGAGTTAGCTGAGTGATGTGGTAGATTGCAATCTCAACGACGAATAATCAAGTGACAACACTAACCCTTATCCAACCCTATCCCTTCGTACTGACCCACCTCTGCCATAACCCACCAAAGCTAGTCATTCTCTCAACTACTGCATTCACGCCATTTTCTTCACACCAAGCTCTGATAATCTGGGTAACTTAACATTTCTTGCTCAGTTGATCTGGATACGAAGTTTGAAGTGTTCTTCCATCAGTAATTCTCTCAACCCTAAATAATCATCAATGTGTTTTATACATTTGTGGAATGATATGACAAATTGTTTTAGAAAGAAATGAAAACCTATGTTTGTTGATTTTTTTACCCAAATTTGTTTTGGTTGTTGTGTTTTTACTTCTATAAATGAGTTGAGAAGTTCATTGTTGTCCAAAAACCTAAATCTATGAAATGAAGTTTGTCGATTTCACTTTTATACATGATTTATGAAGGTCTCTGTTGTATGTTTCAGAATGGCCGACCAACCCCTTTTATATTGTGGCTTTATATGCTTTGTTCTTTACTGTTAAAAGTTTGAAGATAGAAAAGTCGCTGTATGTATTTTTTTATTTTTTGTATCGATTGCATCAAACACTAAATATGATTGGGACCCTATATATTATCTTTTTGTTGTTATATTTCAATTGTGGTCCCTTATATTAATTAAAGCATTATATTTTGTAGTGGTCCTTATTCTGTATTCAAAGCTACTACTTGTAGTCAGTTTTCTTTCAATGGTGGTCCCTATATTTACTGGTTTGTCATTTATATGTTTTGTACACTTTGTTGTGTATTAAATTTGGTGATTATTAGTATTGAAGTGTCAAATAGTTCTCTTTGATCACTGTTCTTGTTTTATAATTAAATATATATTTTTTTATTGGTTATTGTAAATTATTGTTGTAGATGAATGTCCTTTACAACATTGAACTTCACCATGGGGGTGTTTTTGAGAAATCACATACTATGACATACCTAGGAGGAAGTATATCTGAATTTGACAATGTAGACCCTGACAAGATGTCACTTATTATGATTCAAGCTTTTGCTAGCAAGTTGGGATATGGGGTGATTAAAGAAGTTTTTTATAAAGTACCTTATTGTTAGTCACTAATTGACTCTAGAGGGGGGGTGAATAGAGTCAAGGGCCAATTTTTGTAATTTAAAAATATTAAATCTATCAGACTATTAATCACAGAGAAACTGAAATATTCAAGCAGTGTATGGCACAAGTAAAAGAGAGATAGAGATGAGAGATTGCAAACAATGACTCAGCGATTTAGCGAGGTTCAGAAACTCCTACTCCTCGGCTCAAGGTCCCCCTTGAGACTTCCCAAAATCACTAGAGCTTCTCCTTAATGGTGGAGAGCAAACCTTCAGTTTAAGCAAGACCTTGCTTCTCTTCCTTGCTAAGAGAACACCCTTCTCCTAGACTTTCTTGTGGGTCACACCAACCCTTTTACAATAACTTGAAAAGAAATGAATTGTACAATAAATCTCTCAAAGATAGAAGTACACAGTTCTGCTCACGACTATAGTAAAGATGAATATATATCTGAAGCCCAAAATTACTACAGTAGAATGAAATGAAGAGAGGAAATGAAAGCAGAGGGAATGAAAGCTCAACGAATGCTTCTTTAATGCTTTTTTTTAGGAATGGTAGAATGCTCTCTATGATTGTATATTTTTGATGCAGACCACCCTCTGTATTTATAGATAAACAATGGTCGATATAGCTGTTGCAGGTGGTTGGATAATAATAAATGAAAAAGTTTCCGTTGTAGATCAAAACCCTAGAAGGAGCCGGCTCTTTGCAAAAGTGGAGGGCGGCTCAATTTCAAATGGAGGCGGCTCCATTAGAAAAGTGGAGCAGGCTCTTTTTCTGAAAAGGAGACGGCTCAATGGAAAAGTGGAGCCTTCTCTAGATTTTTAGAGCCTTCTCTACTTTTTGTAGAGCCTTCTCTACTTTCAGTAGGAGGCTTAAAATGAATTCCAGTATGTTGTAAGGCTCATATGAATGTGTTAAAAAAAACCTAATAAGCTAATTTTATATTCTTTGAGAGATGAGATGATAATGATATGCATGAATTGTAATTTTGAGCTTCAAAATATATTCAACTAAACTTTGACATTGAACCTTAGTATCTCACCATCCTATCTACCCTTTTCTTCATTTCTTGATCATGATCGTCTAGGCTTGATGAAGATTTGCTGAAAAGCTTGAATGATCTTTGAAGACCGAGTTCTTCTTTATTTTCTTGCACTTTGATGCTTTTTTGAAATCATTGCTTGAGTGTTTGGAATGCTTGAAATGGAACTTCTAGCTCATCATTAAGGGTTGAATGATTGAACAACTATACTTCACTCAATGAAAATATTAGTACATAAACATCATTAATGGATTGTAATCATCAAAACATAAGATTGACCTTTAGATAGAATCCTTAGGCCAACAATCTCCCCTTTTTTGATGATGACAAAACATTGATGTGTTTATAGTCAACATGGAGCATATTTTGAAAATTATATCAAACTTGTTCAATAGCAATAATTTTAGCATATAAATTTCACAGACATTTTTAGAAGACTCCCCCTATCAATATGCATCTATCAAGATACTACTTAAAAAAAATAGAATAGCACATTAGCATGATAATACATCTTTCTCCCCCTTTGTCATCTCAAAAAAAAGTGAAATGAATAGATAAAGAAAAATTACTGGCCATTTCAGAAAATATCAGAGAAGAATGAATTAAAGGGCAAAAGATAAGCAGAAATAACATTTTATAGATAACAGAAAGAGACTGTAAATACAAGTACCATATGACAGATAAAGGCATAATTTATAAAACACAGAAAAAAGACTTCTTTAAAGCAAATAAAGCTAATAAGAGCACACAAAAGAGGGTGTGAAATAGAGAAAAACAGTTCTAAGGAGAAGAGGGTCCAAATTGGTTTCGAAATTCTGTAAAATCCTCATTAAGATGAGCGATTGCCATGTGCATTTCGTCAAGTTGAGTTTGTTGTTTTTCAAGAGTGGCTTGGTTCTGACGAGCCCCTTTGAGAATTTCCAACAAGAGAGCACGATTGGTACTATTTTCAACTGGAACTTCCTCATTTTCATCATCATTATCACTTTCATGGTCGTCTTCATCCCCATCATCAACATCCTCAATCTCTTCTCCTCTAGCTCGAGCCTCTTCTAACCTTCGTTGCCTAGGATAAAACCACACTCCATTGTAATCCCTTTTGAGTCCCATTGACGCAAGATTTGAGGCAGTGCGAATGTGTCTTAGCCCTGGTTTGACTGCTTCACGACTATCAAGCGGAACCTTTTTAGCCATAAATATGTGAGAGAGAACCATGGGATAATATAGAGAGACCTTTTTCTTTCTTTTGCATGTAAGAAGGTGATGAAATATGATGTATGCAAGATCAAAGTGCTTGCCATTTAAGACACACCAGATAAGAAAGACGTCCATGTGGGAAACTTTGGATCGACTGCCAGATTTGGGAAGAATAGAGTACATGATGATCTTGTGAATCAGCTGAGCTTCCATAGTTAATTGTTTGGTGTTGACTTCTCTGGTATTTGTTACATTTGAATCATAACTCATTTGCCGAATAGCTGCTAGTTTATCAAAACCTTGTCCTTTAAACCAGTTGAAATGAGAATAGAATTAAATTCCATCCATAGACGGAAGATGAAGGATTCGAGCAATGCTGTTTGTATCAAGGTGAAAATATATTCCAGCCACATAGCAGTTAAGTTTTTCTTCTCCAGGCATTTCTTCAAGATGAGTGTAGAATAACTTCACTAATTTTGGATAGTAACTTTCATTCATTCCAACAAATGATCCAAGGCCAATTGCATCAAACAATCTATAGGTGTTGAGATGAAGATCATGGAAAATTGTGTCAGACAACACCATTGCTGTGGCCACTTTTCTATGCTGAAAGAATTTGTCATATATGCTTTTGTATGTAGGATTTTTATATAGCATGGTGGCAGAGATTTGAGGTGGAGGAGGATTTGGTTCACTAGGGCCTGATTCATCATTATGTTGAGTAGACCGTTTTTGTCCACGAGAGGGATTCTTTCTACGTGAGGATGAAGCCGTGGACATTTCTAGAAATTAAACTGAAATAACAGAGGAATTCTTTGAATAAAGATTCAATTTAAAAGGCAATGAAAAATTCAAATCACAAATAAGTTTAGACAGAGGATTAACATTGGAAATAATAAAACAAAGTGAACCAAGGAAAAGGCCCTAGTTAAAGTTTCACATTTAGTTAAAAAAAAAAATTATCTAGATATAAAGAACCAAACTGGAATCATAATGGAGGATTCAAATTTAAATTTAAATGGAAGGATATGGAATTTTGACAAGATAGTGCATGGAACAATCCTAATCCTAAAATGTGTGCTGGATAAACCCCAAAAAAAATACATAACATGCTCAGGGGATTGAGATAAAGATAAACTCATCTTAAGAGTAGGAGTTCAACAAAGTTATGAAATGTACTTCCCAAATGAACTATAGACATCACATGAAAGAAAAAAAATATTCAAAACAAAAAAAAAATATTCAAAACAAAAGAAAAAAAAAATTGGTTTTGATAACAAAATTTATGTAATATCTCAAAATTTGATCAATAATGAAGCAGTAGATTAAATAGAGCTAAACTGATAGTTTAAGTATAAAATTTGAATAGCAGAACATATAGTAAGCAATTTTCTTAGGATGATTGACCCAAAAAAAAAAAATAACAATAGTGAATATGAGGGTTTCATGAAGGAAAATTTAAAGGAAATGAACCAAAAAAAAATTGGATAGCTGAAATTATGAATTAAATGTGAGATCATTTGCAATAATGATTAAATTTGAGAGGAAGAGACTTACAGAACACAATGCCCAAAGAGAATGGAGAAGTACCCTAGCCGAAGAGCTCTATGGAATGAAGTGTTTATGCCCAAAAGAGATACTGCAGAGGCTTACAACAACCTACAGTTCAATTGCTTGACAGTCTGAGACATTGCAATGTTGGGGATTAATGGAGTATTACTATCAGTGGAGGCGCCCAATAAAGACTAGAGGAAATCGCCCAAAGCATGATGGAGTCTCCAAAAGCTTCTGGAGGAAATCTGTTATAACCTCAAAATGAGGAGATGCAGAGACCAAGGCAATTGATGAAGGAGCCGGCTCATTGAGAAGTTGGAGCCGGCTCGGTAAAAGGATTTGGAGCCGGCTCTTATGAAATGTTGAGCCGGCTCATGGAGAATTAGGAGCCGGCTCTTGAAAGTTACTTGGAGCCGGCTCTTCAAGGATATAGAGACGGCTCAGAGAAAAAAAAATAGAAAAGAAAGAAGAAAAAAAAAATAAAAAAAATAACAGCCGGCTCAAGGAAGAAATTGGAGACGGCTCTAAAAAATTTTTGGAGACGGCTCAATAAATTTTTAGAGCAGGCTCAATTGTCTGCAGAGGAGATCCCGAGAGTTAAAAAAAATATAGCACTAAAGGAGCCGGCTCTACCTTTTTCTAGAGATGACTCTTCCTATTTCAATTTGTATGTAGGTTGGGGAGCCGGCTCTTGTTTTTATAGAGCAGGCTCTTTTTTTAAAAAAAATTGAGATCCCGAGAGCAAGCAATGTGATATCATCTGTGGAGACTACTCTACCTTGTGTAGAGACGGCTCTATTTCTTCCAAGAGACGACTCTTTTTCTGAATGAAGCTGGCTTTGCTGCTGCTTTGCTTTACTGCTGTATTTCTTCTTCTGAGCACATTCCAATTTCCCTTTTAAGCAAGCAAAACCTATCTTCTTGGAGTGGTTTTGTAAAAATGTCAGCTAATTGTTTCTCCGTATTGACAAACATAAGTTCAATGTCGCCCTTAGAGACATGATCCCTAAGAAAGTCGTACCTAATTTCTATATGCTTTGTCCTAGAATGCTGAATCGGATTTTTTGAAATACAAATTGCACTTGTATTATCACACATTATAGGAATATGATCAAAATGAAATCCAAAGTCCTCAAGTTGTTGCTTAATGTAAAGCGTTTGAGCACAACAACTACCGGCTGCAATATACTCGGTTTCCGCCGTTGATAGAGCGACAGAGTTTTGTTTCTTACAGGACCAAGAAACCAGTGATTGTCCAATGAAGTGACAAGACCCGCTAGTGCTTTTTCTATCAACTTTGCATCCTCCAAAGTCAGCATCCGAGTAACCAACAAGTTCAAATGATGTATGTCTAGGATACCAAAGACCTAAGAATGTAGTATAACTTAAATAGCGAAAGATGCGTTTAACAGCACATAAATGAGATTCTTTAGGGCAAGATTGAAAACGAGCACATAAGCATACACTAAACATGATGTCTGGTCTGCTAGCGGTTAAATATAAGGACTACCAATCATGCCTCTATATTTTTTAATATCCACATTAACTCCCTTTTCATCCTTGTCAAGTTTCAAAGAAGAGCTCATTGGAGTAATGGCATGTTTGACTTCCTCCAAGCCAAATTTCTTTAGTTAATCCTTAACATACTTAGATTGGCAGACAAAAATACCATCAAGTGTTTGTTTAATTTGCAACCCTAAGAAGAAGGTTAGTTCACCCATCATGCTCATTTCAAATTCATTTTGCATACAAGAGGCAAGCATTTCACATAAAACACTATTGGTTGATCCAAAGATAATATCATTAACGTAAATTTGAATGACCAACAAGTTGCAGTCAATGGTTTTAGTGAAAAGAGTATTGTCAATTTTACCTCGAATGAATCCATTAGCAAGTAAAAAATCACTTAGTCTTTCATACCAAGCTTTTGGAGCTTGTTTCAAACCATACAATGCTTTTGTCAATTTGAAAACATGGTTTGGACAACTATAGCTTTCAAAACCAGGAGGTTGCTCAACATACACTTCTTCTTCAATGAAGCCATTTAAGAAAGCGCTTTTTACATCCATTTGATATAAATTAAAGTTTTTATGAGATGCAAATGCAAGGAGCATTCTTATAGCTTCAAGTCGAGCTACGGGGGCAAAAGTTTCCTCATAATCAATTCCTTCTTCTTGATTATAACCTTGAGCAACAAGCCTTGCCTTATTTCTTACAATTGTTCCCGATTCATCCTTTTTATTTCTAAACACCCACTTTGTGCCAATGACAGTTTTATCTTTAGGTCTTGGAACCAAATGCCAAACATTATTTCTTTCAAATTGATTAAGTTCTTCTTGCATGGCCAAGAGCCAAGATTCATCATTTTCGGCTTCAAGAATATTCTTTGGTTCAAGTTGGGAAACAAAAGCTACATAGTTGCAAATATTATTTATTTGAGATCTAGTACTTACACCTTTAGATGGATCGCCAATAATTTGATTTATTGGATGATTGGACACTTGCTTCCAAGCCTTAGGAAGAGTATCTTCATGAGAGTGACAATCTTTTGGAACATCTTTGGAGTGATCTTCAATAGACGAACCATTTAAATCAAGATTTTCAATGTTCTTTTCAAGCTCAATCACATCTTCATTATCATCCAATGAGCACCTAAGAGGGGGCAATGGTGATTCATCAAATACGACGTGTATAGATTCCACAACCACTAGTGTTCTTTTGTTGAACACTCTAAATGCTTTGCTACAAGTTGAATAACCTAGAAAAATACCTTCATCCGATTTAGGATCAAATTTTCCTAGACTATCTTTGTCATTTAACACGAAGCATTTACACCCAAAAACTTTAAAGTATCCAATATTTGGCTTCCTTTTGTTCCAAAGTTCATAAGGAGTCTTATTAAGAAGTTTTCTAATGATTACTCTATTTATAACATAGCATGAGGTACTAACGGCTTCGGCCCATAGAGTTCTAGGAGATTTATATTCATTTAACATAGTCCTAGTCATTTCTTAGAGAGACCTATTTTTCTTTTCAACTACTCCATTTTGTTGAGGAGTTCTAGGAGCAGAAAGATTATGATTGTATCCATTTTCATCATAAAATCTTTCTGCATCTTGGTTATCGAACTCTCTTCCTCTATCACTTCTAATGGACTTAATCTTACACTCTTTCTCATTCTCGACTCTCTTACAAAATTTAGCAAAGATTGCATGAGCCTCATTTTTGTGTGTAAGGAAAAATACCCAAGAGAATCTAGAGTAATCATCAACGATGACAAAGGCATAGAGTTTTCCACCAAGACTAGTAGTTCTCTCTGGACCGAATAAGTCCATATGAATTAATTCAAGTGGCCTTGTAGTTGTTATGTCCTTTTTCCTTTTAAACGATGTCTTAATTTGCTTACCTATTTGGCATGCGCTACAAGTTTTATCTTTAGAAAAATTAGTCTTTGGGAGGCCTTTGACTAATTCATTTCTAGATAGCTTTGAAATTAAATCCATACTAGCATGACCTAACCTTCTATGCCACAACCAACAATTTTCATTTGAAAATACAAAACACTTGACATCTTGATCATGTAATTCACATAAAAGCAAAGTATACACATTACCATTTCTTAGAGCATGAAAAACTTCATTATTATCCTTTTTGACAATGCATTTATACGATTTAAACAAAACATCATATCCTTTATCACATAGTTGGCTAAAACTAAATAAGTTGTGTTTTAAGCCTTTAACAAGTAAAACGTCATCAATAGTCAAGGAAGAGGAGATACCAATAGTTCCAATGCCAATGACCTTGCCTTTTGAGTTGTCACCGAATGTAACATTTCCTCCTTTGTGAGGTTTGATAGAGCGAAATTTTGATTGATCTCCCGTCATATGTCTTGAGCATCCACTATCAAGGAACCATTTGTCCTTGGATGAATATGAAGACTTCACGCAAACCTACAAAATGAATTTGAGTAATCTTCTTTTGGGTCCATGAGAGTTAGTAAGAAGCACATAAGTTCCTTTAACAACCCAAACCTCTTTTGTCCTACATGGCCTAATAGGACAATGATTGATTTTATGTCCTATCTTTTTACAGTAATTGCATGTTGGACTAAAGGAGAAATTTTTAACAAAGTAATTGTTCAAGGGCTTTTTCCTTTTTAATAAACATGAATCTTTGTTATGAGGATCAAATCCAAGCCCATCCTTAGCATAAGTATTTCGTTGCTTTCCAAGAATGATGCTTAAATTCTCTCTGCCTTTTGTGAATTTGGCTAAGGTTTCAACTTGATCCTCAATAATGACTTTCAATGATTCATTTTCAGAAATTAACTCAATTGAGGCTGCTTCTTTAGCTAATTCTTTTTCCTTTTTCAAGGTTTCATTTTCAAGTTGAGATTTTTCAAGGTTTTGAGAAATGATAAGCTTTTCTCTTCTAAGGCTAGCACACTTTTGAACCATTTTGCCTAATTCATCATGTAATTCTTTGAAAGCATCTAGCAAATAATTGTGTGCGTCAACTAATTCATCATATGAAGTTTCTAAATCAAATGAGTCATGATTAGAATTTACCTCATCTTCATCGGCCATGAGACAAAGATTGACCAATTCATTGAGTTCATCGTCACTTTTGGATCCATTTGAATCATCATCTTTCCATGTAGCTCACATGGCTTTGCCTTTCTTTTTCCTTTGCTTTTCATTTTTGTAGGCAAAGCAATCGGATTTGAAATGTCCCGGTTTTCCATAATGAAAACATGTAGGTGCTTCTCTTTTTCCTTGCTCACTTGATGCACCATTTCTTTTGAAGTTGTTACTCTTTTGGAATTTTTTCATTTGAAGAACTCTTCTCACTGTCTTGGTAATGAAAACAACTTCTTCTTCTTCTTCATCATTAGGAGCTTTATCAATTGTGACTTCTTTCGCAGAGGCTTGAAGAGCTATATCCTTCTTTTGAGCTTCTTTGTCTTCATCTTTATCATTCATCTCTAACTCATAAGCCATTAATGAGCCAATAAGGTCATCTATGGGGAGTGTATTGAGATCCTTGGCCTCTTGGATGGCGGTCTTCTTGGCTTCCCAGTTTTTAGGCAGAGACCTAAGAATTTTTCTCACATTGTCGGACGATGTATATGATCTTCCAAGAGCGTTTAAAGGATTCACAATGTTAGTAAAACGAGAATACATTTCACTAATAGTTTCTCTGTTGTTCATAGTGAAAAGTTCATATTTATGGACAAGCATATTCATTTTGGATTCCTTTACATGACTGGTCCCTACATAGGTAACTTCAAGTTTATCCCAAATTTCTTTGGCTGTTTCGCAATCCGAAATTCTATTGAATTCGTCTTTGCTTAAAGTACAATAGAGATTGGTGATAGCCTTGACATTACATTGTACAAGCCTATGATCATTTAGGGTCCATTCAATATCAGGTGTTGGAACAGTTTCACCATTTATAATTTTGGTTGGAACGTGGTCCCCTTTTTCTGTGGCTTTCCAGACATCTATATCAACACCTCTTAGAAATGCTCTTATTTTGATCTTCCAGTAGTTGTAGTCATTTCGATCAAACCAAGGAGGTTTATTGTTAGATTGACCTTCTTGATGAAAATTTGT